CAAGTTTATTTCTAAAAACCCATCTAGTACCTACAGTAGATTTATTACTAGGCCTTTCAACTAATGTCCATACTTTACTTCTCTCAAATTGATTTAATTCTTCTTGCATAGCCATAATCCAATGTTCATCTTTTAATGCTTCTTTGATGTTCTTAGGCTCTATGCATGAAATAATGCAACATAATTACAGATATTTCTAAGAGAATATCGAGTAGTTACCCCTTTTGATGGATCACCTATAATTTCACCATCCTTGACATAGTTGTACTCTCTTGGAAAAGATACTTCCCTTTCTTCAATGGTTGGATTCTCGAGGGGATCATGAGTTTCCTCATCTTTTGTTTCTTCCTTTGATGATGATTCTCCAACGTCATGTCTAACGTCATTTGCTTGTACAATACCTACATCATCATTAACAGAAGAATCCTTCCTTGGAAGGGGATTATCATCGAAAACAACATGTATAGACTCTTCTACAACTAAAGTTCTTTTATTAAATACACGATAAGCTTTAGAATTTAAGGAATAACCCAGAAAAATTCCTTCATCACTTTTAGCATCAAATTTGCCAAGATTTTCTTTACCGTTGTTTAAAACAAAACATTTACATCCAAAAGGATGAAAATAACTAATGTTAGGCTTTTTATTTTTGAGAATTTCATATGGAGTTTTCTTTAAAATTGGCCTAATCATTACTCGATTTACAACATAACAAGCGGTATTTGTGGCTTCCGCCCAAAAATATTTTGGCAAATTATTTTCACAAAGCATGGTTCTAGCCATTTCTTCTAAAGTTCGATTTTTCCTCTCAACAACTCCATTTTGTTGAGGGGTTCTAGGTACTGAAAAATTATGGCTAATACCATTAGAATTACAAAACTTAATAAATCCAAGATTTTCAAATTCAGTTCCATGATAACTTCTAACACTAGTGATAGAGTAACCTTTTTCATTTTGGATTATTTTTGAAAATGTGATGAAATTTTCTAATGCTTCATCTTTAGTACTTAAGAATAGAACCCAAGTGTATCTAGAATAGTCATCTACCAAGACAAATGCATATTGTTTTCCTCCCAAGCTAGTAGTTCTAGTTGGCCCAAAAAGATCTAAATGGATCAATTGTAATACTCTACTAGTTGATACATCATTAATAGATTTAAAAGAAACTCGTTTTTGTTTTCCTTTAGCACAAGCATCACAGATTTTATCATTATCAAATTTAAGCTTAGGCAACCCTCTTACTAAGTCTCCTTGAATTAACCGTTGCACAACACTCATACTAGCATGACCTAGTCTCCTATGCCATAACCAACTGTCATGCTCATCCTTAGCAACTAGGCATAAATTAGTCATATCAATAGAATCTAAATGCACCATGTAAATGTTTCCTATTCTATGACCAACAAGCATAATCCGATTAGATGCAATGTCAATGACTTTACAACCATTAATTTCAAATAAGACATTGAATCCTTTATCGCATAATTGACTAATACTCAATAGATTATGCTTTAATCCATTCACATATAAAACATTCTTAATTTGTATGGAAGAGGTATTACCTATTGTACCAATACCTTCAATGTGACCTTTTGAATTGTCTCCAAAAGTCACTTCTCCTCCATTTTTGGCGTTAAGCTCAATGAACCGGCTTTTGTCTCCGGTCATAGTCTTGAGCATCCACTATCAAGGTACCATGAGTTTGAATTTGTTTCCCGTGCCTTGTAGCAATGCTCCTTTCCCTACAAATATAGATTAATTTTTGATTTTTGGTACCCAAATTCTTTTGGGTCCATATTCATTAGTTTCCAAAATCCTAGTCCCCTTAGGTATCCATTTGTGTAGGATATTTTTATCTTTAGTAGTAATGAGTTCTTTAGGAACCCACATACTTCTAATGATTTTTCCATTAGAGGTTCTTCGGGGACCTCTATGATTGTAGTTTCTAAAACTTTTTCTAACAAAGTTGGATTTTGAATTTCCACCTTTTTCAAAATGTTTTGTTCCAACTTTATCAAAAGAAGTTTTAAGATCATCAATTTTCTTTTGATGATCATCATTGATCTTTGAAAGTAAATTTTGCAAATCTAAATTTTTCTTTTCAAACTCTTCTAGTTTGATTTGCAAGTCTTTGATTTTACTTTCAAGATCGTTGTTGGTTTTGGATATGAGTTTGTTTTCATTTTTCAATTTTGAAACATCATTTTTATATTTTAAAAACAATTTCTCATAATCCGAAGCCAACCCATTGTACTCCTCAAATAACTCATCATAAGATAAATCATCAAAAACGGATGAGTTAGAGGTTACCTTAGAATCTTCCCCGAATGCCATCAAGCACAAGTTTGCTACTTCTTGTTCCTCTTCATCGGAACCTTCTTCATCGCTCCATGTAGCCACATGAGCCTTGTGCTTATTCTTTGATTGACCATTTTTCTTCAATTGTGGGCAATCATATTTGATATGCCCCAGCTTTTTGCATTCATAGCAAATGATTGGGTCCTTCTCTTTTGGTTCATTTTTGAGGCCTTCGTTTCGTTTGAATTTTCTTCCTTGGTAAGGTCTCATCATTTTTCTGAACCGTTTGGCAAACAATGCCATTTTCTTGTCATCATCATCATTATTAGAATCACTCTCATCTTTTGTGGATTTGAGAGCAACTCCAATATTTTTCTTCTTCTCCTTTTCCTTTGGTGTCTCTTCAACTTTATCAAGGTCCACCTCATCTTCGAGCATCATCTCATGAGTGAGGAGTGAACCGATAAGTTCTTCAAGAGTTAAGGACGATAGGTCCTTAGACTCGATGATTGCCGTCTTCTTTGATTACCATGATTTTGGGAGGGAGTATACTAACTTCCTCACAAGCTTTTCATTTGAGATGATCTCTCCATATGATTTGAGACCATTGACAATCGTTGAAAATCTATCCGTCATAGCTTTGATGTCTTCATTTGGTTTCATCCTGAAATTTTCATAGCTATGCGTTAGAATACTAATTTTTGATTTCTTTACCTCATATGTACCTTCATGTGTGACTTGAAGCTTGTCCCATATTTCTTTGGCGGTTGTACACGATGAAACTCTTCCGTATTCATCTGGTCCAAGAGCACAAAAAATAATATGGATGGCTTTGGAGTTGAGCTGGAACATTCTTGTCTCTCCTTCACTCCACAACCTTGGATGAGTGATAGGCTTGATGTATCCTTCTTCTACGGCATTCCATGCTCCCATGTCACTTGCTTGAATGAAGTACATCATTCTATTCTTCCAATAGGCGTAATTAGCTCCATTGAAGAAAGGAGGCTTGTTGACGGGCATCGAATCAAGACCGGAGTCGTAATTTGAAGTGGAGGCCATTGATGACTTGGTAATCGATGTAACTCTTCCCGAATCGACTCAAGAGGCGATTAAACCTTCAAATGAGTGAGGCTCTGATACCAATTGTTGAGTTAATCGATATACGGAATCGGCCAAGAGGGGGGTGAATTGGCAATTAAAAATTTCGTGGAAGCTTTTGCAGAAAATTTAAAGTAATTGCACAGCGATTTATAGTGGTTCGACTTTCTCAAACAAAGTCTACGTCCACTACCTTAGCTATCCACACTAAGGATTTTCCAACAAATTCACTAATTTGTTCTTTCTTTTGAGGCCAAAGAGATAACCTTACAAAATCCCTCAAGAGTATACCCCAACTCTTGAGAACACTCTTTTTCCCAAAGAGAAGATTACAAATTTGCAAACTTACAAGAAAACCTCACAAGGTAAGATGTTTGCACAATTCTAGAACAAAGAAAAGAACACTCAAGGATAAATACAATTGATTACAAAAGTGTTCTTGAAAGCAAATGAATATTGGATGAAAAATAGGCTTGAAATACTCAAACTTGAGGTTTGATGCTTTCTCTTTGATTCTCTCTTGATTCTAGTTGATTGATGTTTCTTGTTGTTGATCAATGGCTCCAGAACTTGTTTAAATACCCCTTGAATCAATTCTGAACGTTGGTGATAATTAGTGGGGATAATAGAGCCGTTTAAGTGTGAAAACAATTAATTTTTCTAGGTGGAGCGTCTCATGCATCGATGCATGATCAAGTATGCATCGGTGCATTCGTGTAAAATTCAAATATTTTGACCGTTGGAACACTTGATGCATCGGTGCACCAAGTGTGCATCGATGCATGAAATGCATTCGATGTTTGAGAAATAGCCTGATGCATCGATGCATGGCTTGTGCATCGATGCATCAAATGCATTCGATGTTTTGAAAAAATTCAGAGTGCATCGATGCATGGAGAGTGCATCGGTGCATGGAATGCATTCGATGCTCAATTAATTCATCGATGCATGGACTGATGCATCGGTGCATGCCTTTGAATAATTGATTTAAGGCTTGTTTTTGGTTCAAAATACTTTGTGAAAATTGTTTCAAAAATAGTTTAAGTACAAATCACAATTTTACACATTTAGTAAGGATTAGAATTGATCTTGAAAAACTTGGAGTAATAATTTGATATTCGGTTAATTGAATCGAATTTGTAAAATCATTTGTGAAATCTTAAAATTCATTTAACTTAATTTGTTATATCGAAATATCAAAAATGTTTTCAATATCATGTAGACTAATTTTCTAATTTTTTTGTGATCATTTTTTCTATTTTTTATGAAAACTACGGTTGCTCAGTTTTTTCTCGGAATCGGGTTGGGTTCAGGGACGGGGCAAAAAAAATCCCCGACGGGATGCCCCGATAAAAAATCTGATGGGAAACGAGGCAAGAGCGAGTACGGGGATGAGGATTCATTTCAAAGACGAAGATTCATTTCGAGAACGATAATGGGAGAGCAAAACCCGTCTCAAACCTGCCCGTTGCCATTCCTAGACAAACACAAATGAGATAAAACTTATTAAAAGATAATAATAAAATTGTTGGTGCCGAAATACAAGTAAATATAAACATAGTTTTTTTACCATTTTTTTGCTTTGTTTTAATATTGTAAATTGTTAAAAAGATCGTTTTCTTCGATTTTTCTCTCGCTCTCTCTGATGTTTGGAGAGACTGAGCGCGGCATTTGATTTCTAATAAGCGCCTACGTTAGCTACCGCCGGCTAGAACCTGCGCTCCCTGAGGTACGCTTTTATCATTTACTCCACTTTCTTCCCATTTCCCAGCTTTACATCCAATGCTGAAACCCTAATCACAAACTACAGTGACACTCTCTCCCTCCAGCTGTTATTTCCCTTTTCGTTTCTTAGCTACTTTTAATTGGATCTATTTCGTTAATTTATTAACTTTTTTTGGGTGTTTTTCGTTATTACTTTGACCAGGGAGTAATGAAGGTTTTGATTGATTGATTGATTCTCTCTGATAATTGATTTGCTACGAGAGATCTGTTGAAAGAAGTGAAATCTAGGGTTAGGGATTTGATGATTTGGCGGGGATTCTAGGAATCCATCAAATGGGTAAACAGATCGGGTCAGATCCTCAGACGGCAAATTTTGGAGTTGGGAACAACTTCGTTTCAGTCAATCTGAACAAGTCCTATGGCCAACAACCATCTAAACATCCCTACCATTCACATTATTCAGGTTCTTATGGGGCAAACAGGGGACGAACCACTGCTGGCGGCAGAGGAGGGGGAGGAATGGTGGTTCTTTCACGGCCTCGGAGCTCCCAGAAGGCTGCGTCCAAGCTATCGGTTCCACCCCCCTTGAATTTACCATCCTTGAGAAAGGAGCATGAGAGATTTGATTCGTTGGGCCCTGGTGGCATGCCTGCCAGTGGAGGGATGTCTGGGAATGGGCCAAGGCCTACATCGTCCGGGATGGGATGGGTGAAGCCCGTTACAGTTGCCTTGCAGGAGAAAGAAGGGTGCCATGGTCATCATGTGAATGCTGGGGTTGATCGGGGTTTGAATTTTGATGATGGCATCAGTAGGGGAAATCATGGTGTTTATGTCCCGCCTTCGGCTAGGCCAAGTGTGACAGGACCAACTGCCTCTGCGTCCGCTTTAGGTAAAGGTTTTCCTCCATTGGATAAAGCCACAGTTTTGCAGGGAGAGGATTTTCCTTCATTGCAGGCAGCCTTGCCTATTGTTTCAGGGACTGAAAAGAAACATAAGGATAGTCTGAATCAGAAACGGAAGCCATTGGCAACTGAGGAGTTGTCTAATGAGCAATGGGATGGTTCTCGTTCAAGTTCGGTTATTGATACACCTTCTCAATTGCAGTCTGGAAGAATTGCTGTTGGCAACAGATTGAGTGAGAATGGTAGTGAAGGACATGGTGTAAATGGTTCTCGTTTGTTAGAGCAAGGAAGGAAGGCCGATGATTATTTTCCAGTGCCACTTCCATTGGTTCACTTGAATCCAAGATCTGATTGGGCTGACGATGAACGTGATACAGGTCAGGGTTTTACAGATCGTGGAAGGGATCATGGGTATCCAAAAAATAAAGCCTACTGGGATAGTGATTTTGATGTGCCAAGTGCTGGTGTGCTGCCACACAGACCATCACATAGTCTTTTTGACAAGAGGAGACAGAATGGTAATGAAACTGGACAAACTCCTTCCACTGAAATCACAAAAGTGGACCCTGGTAGCAGAGATGCTAAAATACCAAGCAGAGAAGGGAAGGGAAAAAATTCACGGAGAGCTTCTTCCCCTCTTCCTAAAGAGAAAATTGGTTGTCATGAAACTGCAAGTCACACAGATACTTTTGGTTCATGGCCTTCAAGTGTGAACAGAGAAAAGGAGAATAAATATATTTCATCACCCTTAAGGGACAATGCTGGGGATGATATAGGACGGAGGGATGCGGGTTATAGAAGTGTAGGAAGACATGCTTGGAACAATGCAACTGATTCATTTAGTAGTAGAGTCTCTGAGTGGAATGCAAGAGACCATTATGGCAATGAACAGTACAATAGATACAAAGTTGATGCTTTACAGGACAGCTCCTTATCAAAATCATCTTTTTCTTATGGTGGCAAAAGACTTCCTGTTAATGACCCTATACTAAACTTTGGTAGAGAGAAAAAGCCATTGCCAAAAAATGAAAGACGTTATCTAGAAGATCCTTTCATGAATGACTTCGGGGGTACTGGATTTAATGGACGGGACCCTTTTGCTGGAAACATTGTTGGGGTCATTAAGAGAAAGATAGATGTTTGTAAACCAACTGATATTTATGACCCTGTCAGGGAATCATTTGAGGCTGAACTTGAGAGAGTGCAGAATATGCAGGAGCAGGAGAGAAAACGAATTGTTGAACAACAAGAAAGAGCTTTGGAGCAAGCTCGTAGAGAAGAAGAGGATAGACTGCAGTTGGCAAGGGAACAAGAAGAGCAGCGGAGGAGATTAGAAGAAGAAGCTAGGGAAACAGCATGGAGAGCTGAACAAGAGCAGTTGGAAGCCTTACGAAGTGTGGAAGAACAGAGAACAACCAGAGAAGAGGAAAAACGCAGGATTCTTATGGAGGAGGAAAGGAGGAAGCAATCTGCTAAACAAAAACTTTTAGAGTTGGAGGAAAGGATTGCCAAGAGGCAAGCTGAAGCAGGTAAGAGTGTTAGTAATGTTTCTGCTGGTGCAGATGCTTTCACTGGGCAAGAGACAGAAAATGGTAGCCATAGCCCCAGACAAGATGGATCTATTATGGGTAGGCCTTATGGAGCAGCCCCATACATATCTTCCAGGCCTTACTATAAACCAGGGGCTCTAGAACCCCACATTGATGATTTTGGCCAGCCAAAGGTTCAGAGTTGGAATGTGTCTGCAGATGGTGATTGCTATGGCAGAAATACTGAGATTGAATCTGAATATCACGCGCATCTAGCAGGGAATTATGGTGATGTGACACAGGGGCAGCATTGTCATGGTCATATTTATCCTCCTTACCTTGAAGGATTTTATAACAACAATGAAGGCAATGGGCTATTTTCCTCTGGGAGGTCACGATATTCTGTGAGGCAGCCTCGTGTCTTGCCTACTCCGTCTTTGTCTTCAATGCAGAAAACCTTGTATAGAGGTGAGAATGAGCATCCTGGTTCCTCAACTTTCCTAGAAAATGAGACCCAATATACTCATACAAGAAGAGGTGGATTTGCGATGGATGGAGTTTATGATAGTGGCCATCAAGATGATCTTGGACAGCTTAGAATTATAGATCCTCAAACTGAGAATGCTGACAATGAAGCTCAGAAAGTGGATGACTCACAGTCTTCCCTATCTGTTTCAAGTCCCCCGGATTCCCCAACACATATTTCTCATGATGACTTGGATGAATTTGGAGATTCTACAATATTTTCGGTTGAGGAGGGTAAAGAGGTCGAGTTGTCAGGGCAGGGGATGGAACCCCTTACCACTGAAGCTGAGAAAGAAAATGTTCAGATTGCCTCAAATTCTGTTTCAGTCATTGAAGATGACGAATGGCCTATTGATAACAATGACCAGTTGCTGGACCAAGAAGAATATGATGAGGATGAAGATGGATACGAGGAAGAAGATGAAGTACATGAAGAAGATGATGGCAGTATTGACCTTACTCCAGAGTTCAATGAAATGCATCTAGAGGATAATGAGTCACCTTACATAATGGACAACTTGGTGTTAGGGTTCAATGAAGGGCTTGAGGTCGGCATCACAAATGATGAGTTTGACAAAAGCTCAAGGCAGGAGGACTCTGCATATACAATAACACATAGTTCGTTTGATGGGATAAATACGGATACAAAATCCCTGCAGACCATGGGTTCTCCTTCCCAAGGTAGTTTAGATAGTTCTAGACTCTTTGAGGAAACTAAAAAGCCAATGCAGAATCTGGTTTTTCAGCCTACTGCTGATCCTCAATCAAAATGTGAGCTAATGGGTAATGTGGATGCTACTGGTAGTTCCAGTGAGTTGGCTGAGCATACTCTCCTCTATTCTGCTGTAACGGCTTCCCCTTCATCTTCTGGTCTGAGTGGCATGCCTACAGATTATGTTCCTAATCAGGCTGAAGAACCTGTAAAACTCCAATTTGGGCTCTTTTCAGGCCCTCCTTTAATACCATCCCCAGTCCCAGCCATACAGATTGGTTCAATGCCTCTTAATTTGCATCCTCAGGTTCAAGTTGGACAATGCCCTGGCCAAATGCACTCATCACAGCCTCTGCTCTTTCAGTTTGGTCAGTTAAGGTATACATCTCCTATTTCCCATGGTGTGCTGCCGTTGGCTCCTCAATCTGTGTCTTTTGTCTACCCAAATGTTTCAGCTAATTTGTCCCTCAACCAGAACCCTGGAGTTCCTGTTCAGCAGTCCGGTCAAGACACTTCTATGCATAATATAATAAAAACTGAAGTTTTGTCTCTTCCGGATAATCAGTCAGGTCTTCCAAGGTCCTGGGATATATCACATGGGAATGTGTTGAAAGAGGGAGGTTCTGTACCAGCCAGGGAAAGCAGAAAAAGGGTTGTGCCACAACATGGCCTTGCAGAGATGTTAAATATTGCTGATAACACAATTAGGTCCCGGTCATGTTTCCTTTCAGAAGACCAGAGGCACCAGAATTCAGTTAGTAGGAACCCCAAAGCATTATCCGGTAAGCAAGCAGAAGGTGACAATGAAAATGTTCTGGCATCATCTCAGTCAGTTCCAAAAGAGAAATATTTAAGTGGATTAAGAGGCCAAACTTATAGTAATAGGGGAAAAAAGTTTGTCTTTATGGTTAAAGGTCCAAGATCTGCTTTTCTTGCTTCTGAGGCCTCTTGCCAAGAGTCTAGTGGATATCAAAGGAGGGCTCGACGTCCTCAGAAAGAGTTTGTAAGTAGGGAAAATTCTGATAAGAAGCCGTCTTCAGGAATAGTTTCTTCAAACCAAATGAGTCAAGTAGTGCAGGATGAGAAGTCAAGTGCCAATGGGTGTTCTGGTTTTTCTACAAGAAAAGGGGTGAGGAAAGTTGGGGTGAATAAGCTGAAGCAGACTGTGCAATCAGAATGCTCCACTTCAGTTTTGGGCAGTTACCGGGAGATAAATTCTGGGAACAGGAATGGAAATGAATTGGGAAAAGAATCATTGATGTGTCAGAGTGTCCCAAACTCTGAAGGAAGTAACCTTAAGAGGAATATTGGAGAGGATGTTGTTGCGCCTATAGAAAGTGGCATTGTACGTGTATTTGAGCAACCTGGAATAGAGGTAGCCAGTGACAAAGATGACTTCATTGAGGTCAGATCAAAGAGGCAAATGCTCAATGACAGGCGTGAGCAGAGAGAAAATGAAATCAAAGCAAAGTCTTGGGTAGCAAAGGTTGTAATGCACTTTGAACTGAAACTTTTTACTTTACAGTAAGATGTTCCCTTTTTTTTGCTGGTTCAGTGCAATGAGACCATGTTGCTTACCATCATTTATTTATTTTATTGGACAGCCACCAAGGAGACCTCGTTCAATCCCAAAAAGGTCCGCTGTCTCAACCAATTCCAATAGAAGTTCCCCTTCATCAAGGGGCAAAGAAATGAAAAGTTTTTGCCCTGACTTCGTCACCACTGAGGGATGTAAGCTGTCCAATTATGAACTATCAGCAGGATTTGTTGCAACTTTAGTAACCCAACCCTTGGTTCCCATTGGCACTCCTGCCATTAAAAGTGATGCACAGACTGATATAAGAATGCAGGCGCTGAAGTATATACCTATCTTGAAAAGCTTTTGTGCGTTTAAAAACTATGCATGCAAATTGCTAATTCTGATTTTTTTTCCCTACAGGTCACTCCAGACAAGTTCCCTTCCAACCACCTCTGGTAGTGGACTCAACCTAGTGTCAGCCTTCATGTCTGAAAGCAAGAATAAGGTTCTTGATAATGTTCAGACATCATTGGGTTCATGGGGTAATTCATACCCCGATCAACAGGTAAGAATGCATTTACTCAATTTTAGCATTGCTCTGTCTCTAGATCTGCAAGACTTCTTGGATTCTGATCATTACTCAATTTTTCCCTTTTCGCATCTTCTCACAGGCTTTCATGGGATCTCTCTATTATTCCCATGTTCTAGATTCTTACTTACCTGGCCACATAGCTGCCAGGACGTATGTTATTTTATCTTTACTTTGGAATTAGATTTGATTTTATTACACGCATAATTTCATATTATTGTTTGTTGGTTTCTTCTCAACTTTTCTTCAACATCTTAGGATTGGAGTTCAGATGTGTGGTGCACTAATTTATATTTTTATTCATGTATTTTGTGCACATCTCCATTCTAGATCAAGTATGATTGAAGTTGGCATTATGAAACTTGATTGAACTGCCATTCGTTTTCTGGCTTGTCAGTCTAATTGTATTGATGTCTTTAGTCTGAAATTATCCTCAATTGTTGCGCTTGTAGATGCTGCTATTCTTTCTTCTAATTGTTTGGCCGGTAAATCTGAGGAAGTCCAAAATGGATTTTTCTGCAACTTGTAGGTACTGAACCAGGTTCAACCTGATGATGCACTGAAGTCTGTTCAAGTTAATACTTGTGCTCCTTCTGGAGATCACACTAGCTCTGTTACTGATCCAAGCATGCCATCTTTGTCCATATTTTTGAAGGACAAGTCATTTCCTTCTGCTGCAAGTCCAATAAGTTCTTTGCTTGCTGGGGAGAAAATACAATTTGGTTGGTGTATTCTTTCATTTTGATATTAAATAAATTCTTAGAATTATTTGTACTCGTCTAAATTTTCGTTTTATACAGGAGCTGTTACATCTCCGACAGTTCTCCCTTCTGGAAATCGGGTCATTTCACATGGGATTGGCCCTCCAGGCTCATCTCAAACAGAAATTCAGATCTCCCACAATCGTTCTGCAGCCGAGAATGATTGCACCATTTTCTTCGAGAGAAAGAAACACTCAAGTGAATCTTGTGCTCGTTTGGAAGGTTGTGATGCTGCAGCCAAAGCAGCTGCTTCTTCCGTTGCTGTTGCAGCCATTACCAGTGCCGAGACTGTTGGGAATGGAAAGAGTACCTGCACTGTTTCTGCTTCAGATGATAAAGGTTTTGGAGGTGCAGAAGTTGATGTTATCAGTGCAGGTGATTAAGTTGATAAATAGTACCTGTACTAATTCTGCCTCTGTTGAAGTTGATAACCTTTTTTGCTTTTTCTGTTTTCTTCATCTACTTTGCAGGTGGTGCTATTCGGCAATTAGCAAGTCAATCCAAGGCGGAGGAGTCTCTCAGTGTTTCTCTTCCTGCAGATCTTTCCATTGAGAACCCAGCAATATCTTTGTGGCCGCCTTTACCTAGTCCACAGAATTCTTCAAGCCAGATGATTTCTCATTTTCCTGGAGGCCTTCCTTCACAATTCCCCTTCTATGAAATGAATCCCATGATGGGGACTCCAATCTATGACTTTGGACCACATGAAGAATCTTCATCTACCCAATCGCAGTCCCAGAAAAGTAGCACGGCAGCTTCAGGTCCCTTAGGGACCTGGCAACAATGCCATTCTGGAGTAGATTCATTTTATGGTCCTCCTACAGGATTCACTGGCCATTTTATTTCCCCACCTGGTGGTATCCCTGGGATTCAAGGCCCACCACATATGTTTGTGTATAACCATTTTGCTCCTGTTGGACAGTTTGGACTAAGTTTCATGGGTACAACCTATATCCCATCTGGAAAGCAACCAGACTGGAAGCACAACCCTGATTCTTCCTCAACCGGTGAAGGGTATTTGAACAATTCAAACACGGCAGCCTCACAGCATAATGCTAGCAACATGCCAGCTCAAATTGGGCATCTTGCCGCTGGCCCTGTGTCGCCTCTTCCACCCATGGCATCTCAGCTTGCTATGTTTGATGTTTCTCCTTTCCAGGTGAAAATATGGAACTGCCAGCTTCATTGATTCTTACAGGGTGAAAACTTGTTGGAGTCTGTAGCCCTTGTTTCCCCCCAAATTAATGTGTTCCCTGCTCTGAAGTTAGTGGTTGATTTGGGTGTTCTAGAAGTAATATTTAATGCTTTTGGACTGAATTTTATTTAATAGGTGCACTTTTAGTTCTGGATGATGAGAATTATCTTAGTTTTTTCTTTGGCATGTTTTGTTCCATTTTCGACAGTTTACAACTGTTGCCTACCTTTCCTCCAATCTGGCTAATGCATGTCTCAACTTTTCTTTCAGTCAACTCCAGACATGTCAGTTCAAGGTCGTTGGTCCCACGTTCATGCTTCACCTCTGCAGCCTGCTGTGCCTTCCTTGTCATTGCAGCAACAGGCGGAAGGTGTACTACCTTCTCAGTTCAGCCAGGGCCGTTCTATTGACAAGTCATTGGCTAGCAACAGATTCCCCGAGTCTCAAACATCAACACCTTCCGACAGCAATCCGAAATATCCTGTGAATTCCGAATTAGGTTTCGTGGAACAATCTAGCTCCACCATTGCTGCAGCAGCTTCAGCACATGGCTCATCCCTCACCAAAAATGCAGACATTGGCAACACTGGTGTCCAAAACGTTGGTGGTATTGAAAGTGGTTATCAGAAGTCAAACTCTGGTGTCAAGACGCCATCTTCCCCCCAAAAGAATATAACATCTCAGAATTACAGTCATCAGAGAGGAAGTGGGGGAGTTTCACAAAAGAATGACTCGGGTGAATGGAGCCATCGAAGAATGGGTTTCCAAGGAAGGAACCAATCCATTGGTGGAGACAAGTACGTGAAGCTAAAGCAGATTTATGTGGCTAAACAAACTAGTAATGGGACATCAACATGATCATGATGATATAGGAAAACAAATAAGCTTCTCGGACTAAAGCTGAAAGAGATTGAACTGGTGGAGCGTTTCTTTTAACCAGGTGCAGCATTTTTAGCACAAATGCTGGGATTAGTGTGGGAATTTGACGTAATGTATGATATAGCTAAGCTGGGAATATTTGCTTTATACTGGTTGATAAAGAGCAGTTTTGGTTTTGATTTATAGCTAGAAAGAGATTTGGGCATTTATTTGGCCTATTGGGTTAATCATGTCACCTGGCATTGGCCTAGTAAAGACGCAACCTTGTGTTTGTGTGAACTGGGTGGATGGATTGGTGGGGTTCATCCACTCCTATTGGCAATATGAGACTATTTGGAGAACAGTTCCTAATTTTTTTTACAAATGTTCTTTAAAAATATTATTTTAAAAATATGAAATGTTTAAAAGCATAATAAGCTCATCATTCTTTGAATAATTTATTTTTATTTATTTTATATAAAATTAATCCAAAATCGTTCGTTTAGTATAACAATACGAAATATATAATAAAGTATACAAATAATAAGCTATAAACATCTACGGCATTAAATACAAAAGCAACAACCAGCATAAGTATAAACGTCAAAGTTCAACAAGATTATTAGGAAGCGAAGTAAAAGTCTTAAATATAAATAAATAAAACATGATATATAAAAATATAATATTCAACTAAAGGATTGGTTCAAGCGGTAAGCAGCTTAATATTGCTTAAGCAGATTTCGAATTTGAGGTCTTGTATATGCAAAAACTCTTCGCTATGAGACTCGCATACTAAAACCAAGTATGTGACATGTGTCAGTTTGAATTAGGGATGACAAACGGGTACAATTTTGTAGATTCCGCATCGCACCCGCTCCAATTGGGGTGGGGTGGGTATAATTTTAGTGGGTAGTGGGCGGGTGTGGATTTAGAAAGTGGTACCCGTCGCGGGTAGTGGGCGGATAATGGATTTGAGACCTTACCAGCCCTGCATCCGCCCTTCCCGTATCCGCCCGCCCAGCTAAATATTCATTAAATTTTAGATCATTATGAATTTAGGTGTAATTTTAGAGACTAATTTATAAATCCTAATATTGTATAAGATATAACTTGTAATTTAACCAAATATTAGGGATAAGTTTATGCATAATTTTTTTTCTTTCAAACCTATCGTTATTGTGTCGATCTTTCAAACCTCTGGTCTCCACTCTCCAGCTTATTCAGGTATGTTTCTTCCCTTTTTACTTGAAATTTAATTTTTGTAAGAGCTAGTCATTTCGTTTTAAGCTCCTATGCATTTCGTTTTAAGAGTTTAATTTTTATTTGCTCGTACTGATTTTTAATTATTTTTTAGATTCATCTCAATGTTTGTTTTAAGCTTAATTTCTTAATATTCTGCAAATCACTATCTTGTGACTGAGCACCCACGGTTTAGGCCAACAGAGTCAGATCGTTGCTTCTCAAACCTCTATTTTTAACGCCACTGAATAGAATTAAGCCCCATGATGAGTTGTCACCGATCGTTGGCATGAGCTTGAAGTACGAAACAGTACACACATATATGATGCATCCCCTATTCCCATATTTGGTTGAAATCATCATGCATTTATTGAAGAATCATTGTTGTTGCTATCTTTTGTCTGTTTGTGGCTATATGATTAATATGTGTTTAAGCTGAGATTGATAGAATTGAAGGTCTTCTACATGAATTGGTGGATTAATATGGATATAGAAATGGTAAGAACCAAGCAAGTAAGAGCAAAACCAAATCTGTTGGTTTTTTCAATACCAAGGGCAAAGGAACAATGTTGAACAAGTTTGCAGAATTTGTAGAGCAAAATAATAATGCAATTTCAGAAAAATATGATTTGGACATGTACTTAGAAACTGCCAACATACCATTTGTTGATGATTTTGATATTCTTAACTAGTGGAAAACAAATGGAAATAGTTATCCAACTCTCCAACAAATAGCAAAGGATATTTTGAGCAGTCATGTCTCCACTGTCCCATCAGAATCTGCATTCAATACAGGTGGAAGAGTAATTGGTCCTTATCGTAGTTGACTACTTCCGGAGACGATTGAAGCATTAATGTGTGCTCAGAATTGGCTTTGAGTCGATATTAAAGGTAATATTATTATTTAGTTTATATTAGTTATCAAATTGTGCTTACTTATCTTATTAAAGTTTAGTTACTAACTTATATTAGTTTTGCTTTCTATTATATATGTAGGTAGTAGTGAATTTAAATTGGAGCACTCTCAATTAGAGGAAATAGAGAATGATGATTGTAATACTGGAGTATCAGATGTCACAAGTATTGCCTGAAATTTGAGAATGTTGTGCCAAAGAACAAAAATATCATGTGTTTGTCATTTATGTTTCTAGGCTTTAATTATGTCTTTTATTATGGTGTTTTATGAGAATGATGATTGTAATACTGGAGTACCAGATGTCACAAGTATTACCTGAAATTTTAGAATGTTGTGCCAAAGAACAAAAACATTATGTTTTTGTCATTTATGTTTCTAGACTTTAATTATGTATTTTATTATGGTGTTTTATGTACTTTAAGATCTATATTAACACTTAACTCAGATAATCCTTGGTTTATTTTATTATGTTTCTTAATGGACGTGTTTGTTTTATATTTGTTGCTTATGCATAACTTAAGTTTGCTGTCAGACGGGTCTAGCCGGGTATGTCTCCAGTGGGTAGTGGGTGTGAGGATGGATTTGAGAATGTACCCGCGTGGCCGGGTGTGGATTTAAAATTTTTTACCCATCATAGGTGGTAGGCGGGTGGTGGATTGAAAAATATTAGGTGGGTATGGGGATGGGAGAGGGGGTATCCGCACCCAACCCGCCCGTTTTCCATCCCTAGTCTGAATTAGTCAAGGTTTATTAGATGTCACTCTTTGTTTAAAATTTTGTAGAGGATTAGTTGTTGGTTTGAGGGGCGAAATACATGCACTCGGTGGTGATCAAACAAACCTCTTACCTCTAAGTGTATGTTAGACTTTTATGTTCTGTAATGAGACAATGTGAGAAATTATAAAAATGCATGTGTGTAGCTGGTATTTGGCCATGAATATGGATTATGATATCACTTTTGGAATATTTGATTTTATAATTGAATAAATGATTGTTGAGTGTTGCCGATGATTCACATTTGTTGTAACACCCTCAATCCGTACCTGACCCAGATACGAGTCCGAGGTGTCACATTGACTTTTCAAACTTTGACTCTTAAAGAAATCAAGGAAATTTTGAACTTTCATTACAATAAAAGTTGTTAACTTACAAAAGTTTGACCAGAACAACACAAAATCGATTAGAACATTCGTGATTAACAAATTGTTTACATGTCAACACACTAAATACAACAAAACACATACTTTATCAATTATTTCTGATATGATCTTCTAGTAAGGTAGGATGTCCTTGCAACTCCTAATTCTGGTCTTCTTGATTCTTTGTACCTACGTGTAAATCACTTAAATACTAAGTCATAGACTTAGTGAGGCATAATAGTAGACACATAACAATAAAATCATGAACATGTACTACCATCAATATATTATGACATTGCAATGTACATGTATATACCACACAATAACATATATAAATATGATATGCACAAATGAACTTTAACTTCTTATAATAACTTTCATTGAATTTATCTTTGGATGCCCATGTACATTATTGAGAACAGGAGGTACGTGAGTACACTGAGGTTGTGCACAATGGTGTCACCACAGATCGAATAAATTCCCACTAGGGGAACTGAATATTTGTCCCGGAGGACCACTATGTCCCGGAGGACCACTATGTCCCGAAGGACCACTGATAATCCCTCGACTCTTGGCATGCCAATTATACCTACAACTCTCATATTAAATAACATGGGCTTAAATATAAATACATTTCTCATTTTCATATCTCTTTTATCACTTTTCATATAAACACATAATTCACTTCACATGCAAGCATATGATCCCTTCCATTATTTTATATACTTGGTTTGATTCTCTTATAATATCATTTATTCATATAATTTCATATTAAAGCATTGATGAATTATGCATGAAATCACTATATGCATGAAATCACTATATGCATATACATGAATGTAAAATCATAAATTCAACTATAAGAGATAAACTTATCGCAAGTCTTATCTCCATACAACTCTATCTAGGATATGCACTCACCTTAGCATTGCTTGCTTTGACTCGATCCTAATTCTTCGATTGTTCCGGAACGAGATTACGTTCTATATCTACATAATAATACATTGATACATATCATTATTTTAATAGGTATACTCTAATCTTCCATTTCTTAAACTAAAAGAAATGCTACTTTCATTTCTTATTTAAGGTAGGTGTCGGTACACTCTATAGTGTATAAATACATCCCTTAATATGTGTATCGATACACTACCTATGTATCGGTACACAAATTACATTTGAAGTTTTCATTTTAAGGGAGGTATCGATACACTTCCTATGTATCAGTACACTTTGAATATTTTCCTGAATTTTACCCTTGATGTATCGGTACCTGTTGAATGTGTACCGATACACCCTGCACAGAAATCACATTTTGAGCAGGAAAATCACTTCATTCTAGCTCAATTGTGTCATATTTCAACCCCTTTCATATCCTTAACTTATATACACTACTTAAACTAATTAATACTCATTAAATACATCTTTAACTTCAAAATCCAATCCTCCACATAGCATTTGAGAATCATACTCAAATTTCAACATGTTCTAAATCTAATTCTAACACTTCATATTCCTTAATTAGATTGATGACAAGTCAAATCCAACTTCAAATTCTAATTATAAACTCTATTTCAAGATTTCATTCAAGAACTCCTATTATTTAATCTCTCCTAACTCCATCATCTTTTGATTTTAAGATAACTTAAGCTTTCCTTAAGCTTAGTTATCATCTAATGATCATAAACCAACCTTAAATTCATCAAGAAATTAACTAACCAGAAATCTTACCTTAGTTTGGTTCTCACGTATGAAGGAAGAGAGGAGAAGAAGATAACTCTGGAAGCTTAGATTTGCTTCCTTGCATTTCACGTGGTTAATATAACCATAACCCAAATTAAATTATTTCCTTGCAATTGACCATTTTATCCTTCTATTCCTCATTCTTTTCAATTCAATCCTACACAACATTTCTCAAATAAGTTCTTGAACTATTCAATTATTCTACTTTAATCACCAAATTCTGAAACTTTACAATTTAGTCACTAACCCGGTATTGAGGATGTTACAAATCTCCCCCTTAAGAAAATTCGTCCTTAAATTTTCATTGCATAAAAAATAGGGATAT